ATAAAGTTATAACTGAGCTCTGTCTCTACATCACAGTAACAACTTTATGTCCATTGACTGCCTGGACGGTAGCTAGTGTTTGGAAGGGAGAGGAGGTGTGTGCTGCAGCTCAGTGTTTTTCCACCGGTGTTTTTGAGGGCGTGTCGGACTAGCCGCTCAGCAAGTATTATGACACGTATTTTCATTGTGACATCACAAGAAAGGGAAGTAAAGGCTGGACTATAAACAAGCTGTTTTCAGGCAGTTCAGAGCAGTGTTTTCTGTGGGAGATGGGAACTCCCTTTGGGCTGGACTTTGGGCCTTTTCACTTTGCAAACCTATTCCATGCACAAAAAAGATATATAACTCAATAAAGAAGAGGGAAAAAGCCAAAAAGCATAATACCACCTCTTTAAGTAAAATCATAATTCAGTCCCTTTTCCTCAACAAAATATATTGATACACCGTGCTAATTAATTTATGATTCAAATTAATTAATTGAAACATTTATTAAACATTATATTGTTGTAATATTGTTATATTGTTATTGGGGATAATTATATCACTGTTATCATTATTGATTTATTACACAATATTTTTTTCTGAAAGCATTAGGTTTTCTGGCTGACTCTTAACAAATATGTAACGTTATTCCATATTTGATCATTCATTTTTGATCTGCAACTGTGACAGATGGAATAATGTGTATTACCAGTAGGTCACAGCAAAGAGTAATGTGTATTACCTACCAGTAAGTCAGAGCAAGCAGTAGAGAAACAATTAATGGTAGGCCTATATTATGGTTAAAGTTGTTATTGTTAGTTGCAGTAGTTACAGTACTTTTCTGTTTTCTTATTTTTCATGTGCAAAATGTCATTCCAATACCAGCAGCAGTAACTGTGAACAAGAGTGTTGTACTTACAAGCAGGCTCTAGCAGGGGGAATGTAAAACTCTTGAGCTATGTTACGGTGCACGTCGCTTTCCTTCCTTCAGTCATTACACACATGATTTGTAGTTCCTTCATGCTACACACACAACATATTAAGTGTAGGCCTATATTGAATATATATGGTAACATATAAAATAAAATAAAACAGTATATACAGTTAAACATAAGCTACATGTATACACCCCAAACATTCCACAGTACATTTTTTGAATTTGTATCTGGGTGAATGTAAACAGCAGCAACCAAATTGTTACGTCCCCGCTCGCTAAGGGGTAGGGGAGACCAGATTTTTTTGGTATGGGTGGAAAGATTTATTAAACAGAGGTAACAACAAAAGTCAAAACAGAAATTGGGCAAGCGGGTGCTGCGTAAAACAAAGAACAAAATATAACCATAAGAGATCCCCCCTAAATGAGGGATTACTAAACTACCACGAAAAGAACAAACAAAAACCTCTCTAGTCGTCGTTAAAAATTGAAACACAGGGAGCGCAGCACCCCTAAACCTAGTGTAACTCAACAGGTAATTACTAACAGGTGTAAGCAATATCAGTAACAAGCTTCGCCCTGGCCCAATTCTGCAGACCAACACTTAGTTCAAAACAGGATGTGTTACCGACTCTCAGTAACACACTGACACAACTAACAGGGTTATGTATAATGACCAGCACAGAGGTAAACTACATGGGAAATGGTATCTGCCCCGACACAGCAGCAGGCCAGCCTAGGGTTGTTGCGCCGCTCCAATCGGGGACCTCTAATGTGGGAGGCGGGAGCAGCCAGAACTTCCTCAAAAACCAGCCAATATCCCCCGCCGGAAATTTCACAGCCTCATTATCATGTAGGGGAAACACAGCAGCAACAGTGACATACACAGACGGCTGAGATGATAACATGAAAGTTTCATCTTCACAATAAACAGTCTGACATTTGGGAAACAGAGTCCATCTTGACTGCGTTTGAGCACCAAGCATCATCGATGTAGAACACAGAGTCCACTCCCTCTCATCTTGCCTGAGTCTTGCGCTCAAAGCTCAGAACCATAGGCTCGGAACATGGCCAAGTGCTTGATCCGGGATGTTGATGGGGCAGGTCTCTGTAACGATGTGGGCACAACAGTCTCTGAATTCTGTTATCTGGTCAGTATGAGTCCCATTTTGTCCAGGCCGGATCTCTAGGAGCAGAATTAAATCCAAGCTGGGCCAGCATGGCTCCTCTCCTGGCTCTCTTTCCTCTCCTCTGAGCGATCCAAGCGCCTGGTCCGGTTGTTTGGGCCGGGTGGATCGTGGTCTGCTGCTCTTTAATACAAAAACCCCGTCTTCATCTTCCAATGACTGTACATATGTCAAAGGTAACCCGTGTTTCTGCAAGAAAGCCGGAAAACAACAGATAAAAAACAAAAGTGTAGCAAAGTTTTGAAGGAGCTACCGGCTGCTGCTTCTACAAGCGCTGCTGGTTGCCATAGCAGGTATGAGTTTCATATGATATGTGTTAATGTTTAACCCGAGTGTTATGTGAATGTGTATATGTGCCGAGAAGAGTTTTTATAACACAGTATGTTCACACATTGTGAAGTAATGAAGTTAATTACCTTTACGCGACGACGAGTAAGCTTGCCACATTAGGCTTTAGCAATGCTAACCGCGGCATCGTAGATGAAAGAGTGGCAGACATTATATTTGTCGTGGTGTGTTCCGTATTTACGTTTCTGAAAAGTACAGAGTACTGTTAAAGGGTGTAATTGTGAGTGCTATATGTTATCATTATAATTATGTTTTGTAAATCTTATGTATTGCCGTATTTACTCGTAGATTTAACGTAGTTAAAAGTGGGAAATGCTACTGCAGATATAATTGCTGACTAAAGATAATGGTTACTGTATGTATTTTGCATATGCGTGTTATATTATTAATTATTGTTTTATATGTAAACTCTACTGACGTTGCATATGGTTTTTTGATATACAGTCATTACCAGTGCTTGAAGTGGGCCGGAACGCCCCAGTACCAACACCTCGACATTTTACCCTTTGGCGTACCGGGACATTTTCTTTCAAGCCTTTCAAACAGCCGTGTGCTAAAAGTCATTCACACTGGGGACGCTGGAGACAGGTCAGAATCAGAATGTCTCCATTACTTTTTGAAAGCTTTTGTTGAAAATGTTCTGAAACCCAACTTGCAGCAAGAAATGTTGTGTACTGGCACCTATTTTTTCCACTTTATGCACTGGTCATTACACACATGATCTTAGGAAAGTTTGTGTCCATGCATCTTTCAGCTCTCTTGACGTAAAGTGCCATGTGCTTATGGCTATACAGAGCAACATATTTCATAGAAGGGGAGGCGCGTTACTCAGTCTCCACTCTCTGCTGTCACATCTCTAAGTTGACAGCCGTTAACACTAAAAACACATTTTTAATTAGCGTAACTGGTTGCATTTGAAGCAATAAGCTTTACATTCAATCAAAGTTAGGATGTTAACAAATAAATCAAACAATGCAAAAGCAATTTATGGTCTTGACTGGTCTTGAAATAAAATCCTGAGTCCTCAAAGTCCGAGACCGAGACAAGACTGAGTACAAATGCGGTTGAGTCCGAGTCGAGACCAAGATATAATCCATTTTCTAATTCTATCGATGCATAATATGATTGTCTACCCAGCCCTGCACACTGCCCCTGGACCTGTCACTGTTTTGTCTGGTTCCATTGACATCTCCAGTTCTTTCTCTTCCTCCTCATCAACATGACTGGGGTCATTATCACCCTGTCTCTCTGCATCACCTGCAGCTGACCAGCCAACCGGCCAGCTCGGTCGTGGTCCATTAAACATAAAAAACTGAACAACACCAGCCGGTTTGGCCGGAAAAAGACCAGCATTCAGGAATGTTCCCAATGGCCAATCCGCCCCTGACAGTATGTACCGTCCCCTCCAAAAGTACTGGAACGTTAAGGCAAATTCCTTTGTTTTAGTTGTTCTCTGAAGACATTTGGGTTTAAGATCAAAAGATGAGTATGAGACAAGAGTTCAGAATTTCAGCTTTTATTTCCTGGTATTCACATCTAGATGTGTTAAACAACTTAGGACATATCACAGTTTGTATTAGACCACAGCAACTAATCTTAAAGTAAATAACATTTAATATTTGGTGGCATAACCCTTGCTTGCAATAACTGCTTCAAGCCTGCGACCCATCGACATCATCAAACTGTTGCATTCTTCATTCTTTCTCCACACTTAATCCACTTGATTAATCTTGGTCTCATCAGTCCATAAGATTGTGTTCCAAGGACTTTTGCAGCTCATCTCTGTACTTCTTTGCAAATTTCAGTCTGGCCTTGCGATTCTTCCTGCTGATGAATGGTTTGCATCTTGTGGTGTGGCCTCTATATTTCTGCTCTCTGAGTCTTCTTCCAACAGTGGATTGTGATACCTTCACCCCTGCACTGTGGAGGTCGTTGGTGATGTCACTTACTGATGTTTTTGGGGTTTTCTTCACAGCTCTCACGATATTTCTGTCATCAACTACTGTTGTTTTCCTTGGCCGACCCGCTTGACATCTGTTGCTCAGTACACCAGTAGTTTCTTTCTTTTTCTGGACATTTTAAATTGTTGTGCTTGCTATGCCCAATGTTTGTCCAATGGCTCTGGTCGATGTTCCTTCTTTTCTCAGCTTGACAATGGCTTGCTTTTCTCCCATAGACGAGCTCTCTGGTCGTCATGTTGGTTTATCCTCTTTAACAGGAAATGCAGTCTTTATAGGTTTGAACCAAGGATGAAAACTTAGCCTAGTCATGCAGAGCTATTTAATGTTTGGACAATCAGCCTAAAAGGCAACACCTGGGCAACAAGAAACATCTGTCAGTCACATGTTCCAATAGTTTTGCTCACTTGACAAATGGATGGGTTCAAACAAAGGTTGGTATGTCCTGAGTTGTTTAACACATCTAGATATGAATACCAGGAAATGAGAGCTGAAATTCTGAACTCTTGTCTCATACTCATCTTTTGATCTTAAACCCAAATGTCTTCAGTGAACAACAAAAACAAAGGAATTTGCCTTACTGTTCCAATACATTTGGAGGGGACTGTATATTGTTTGATAATATTGGGATGATATACGGCGTGGCTTTTCTTTTATTTCCTCTAATTGTAGTTGTAAATGTTGAGTTGGGTTTTTATGTTGAGGTATTATTTTTGGGATGTTTACTTCTTTCTGCTGTCTGGAGAAGTGAATACACATGCTTGTGTACAAGGCATAAGGACTCACTGAATGATTTGATGAGACATAATGAATCATATGTTTTGCACTTGACTGTCACCAGTTCCCAGCTGAACACACAATATGGGATCTTTCGACCGGATTCTTTGCCAACATCATCAAGAAACCAGTGACGACATGTTCTTTGAAAGAATGGATATATATATGAAAGAATATATATATATATATATATATAGATAGATAGATAGATATACACTTGTGAAAAACTGTAATCACAAGGGTAATACTACATGGATATTAAATAGAAAAGACACAGAATTGCCTCCAGTCTAAAAGAGCCTAAATTGTTTACCTATGAAAAAAATCAAAAGCACGTGCCCAAAACCAAAGGTAAAAGAAAAAAAAAAAGGTTTAACTTCCTGTGATGCAACCAGTGATAAATTCAACCTCAGTTCCATCGCTCATTCACTGTCTGAGACATCAACAGCAGCAGGGCAGCCCCCGAGGTAATAGAGCTTTTCTATCCACTACTTATCATAGCACACATGACAACTGTTGATTATCTTTCTTTACTTTTTCAAATAATGTAAACTTGAGGTATATTTGTGAATTTTTCATATTTATACTGTATATTACAGAAAGATATATTCCTGTAAATGTTGGGGTAGACTGTAATGATAAATGTATGTATTCCTGAATCAGTAGATATAATAAGACATTCAAGAAAGAGACTGTAAGAAGAAATGTTTCATATCCACAGAGACATGAAGTGTCTGCAGCTCCTCTTGGTGTGTTGGTGCTCCAGCATCCTTGCAGTGACCAGCTCCATCAGAGGTACTGCTCACTTGTCTGGCCACACTGATGTTGTCCTCAGAACTTAATCTGTGTGAACTTATTTAATAAGGCAGCTTCGGGGATATCTCATCTTGTGGCCTGTTAGTCACATCATCAAATTATCTCTGGATGATTAATTGTGCACTAACTTTGCTGTCATACATTCCAGTCATCAACCACAGTAGGAGGTTCAAATTAAATGTTAAACTATAGAAATGTCAAGTAGTTATTCATATGAATTCACATTCACATCTCATATTATCTATCTGTCATACGTAATTACCTTTAACATTTAAGTAACATTTTGATGACTCAAGTGGTGTAAAGTAACCAAGTACTGTACTTTTGAGGTATTTTGCTTGAGTATTTCCATTTTATGTATTTCCATGTTTTGTAACATCATAATTCTATTACACAAGTTTAAGATAAATGTACTTTTTACTCCACATTTATACATTTATTCTACATTTATCTGACAGTTGGAGTTGCTGGTTACTTTACAAATTAAGATTTTACATTAAAAAAAACACAAGTTTATAATGAACAGACATGTATAAGGGGAAGGGCCCATAGAGAATGCCTTTGTACAGGGTCCAGAATTGTGTGCTACGCCTCTGGCAGTTCTACTAAAGAGACATTTACCCTCTTAACTTAAACTTATGCGTAACGTAAACTTATCCAATGTTTCATAAAAAAGAAGAAAATTTTTTACATACAAATTTGTGTAGCACAACTTCATTTTTTCTTCTGTCCTACCCCTTTAATCATTTCACTATCTCAGATTTATCTTGTGACCCTGAGGAGAAATGTGATGTATGGGACAGCCTGACTTTTAAAAAATGTTGCAATATCATAAACTGAGTCAAAATGTATGTGACAATAATCTTCTTCCTCCTTTTGTAGTTGATTCGTGTGTGAGTGACTATCGGGACACAATTACTTGTAACATCCCTGGTAATCCTGTGGGACAGTCTAACACCACCTACAGCCTGAAGTTTATTAATTGTAGAAAGTAATTGCACCTCCTCTCTTAGAATAACATGAATAAATGACTTACTAATTATTAACATTTGTGATTGTGGCACAAACACATAATAATGTTCTGTAAATGTTTTTGTTTTTTTAATTTTTAGTGGAGAGGAGTCCTATTCCTGTCCATTTGTGAAGATGAATTACAATTACAGCTGTGACTGTAAAATCAAGAACTTTTCTAGTTATGATTGTTATGAAATACATCTTTGTCAAAAATCTGGCTGCCATAAGAAAATAGATAGTTTTGAACCATCACAGAACAGTAAGTATGAATTAATTTGAAGTCATACTAATTGTGTTTGTGTGTGTGATGTGTGATGTTTGTGTTTCTTTGCACGCATGTGTCTGCATTGCACCTTTAAAATTAGGATATTTCCAAAGTACAGTACTTTCTTAATCACGTTAGAAACTGAACAAAAAACATTAGGTAATGTCTTTGCAAAATTTACTGTACATATTAAAAAGCTTTTCGTATATGTAAATATGATTTGATACATGTTTGCAATCAGTTCAGCTGACACCCCCGGATAAAGCTGAGGTCCAGAAAGCACCAGAAACGTTCAACATCACTTGGAAAAGTGGGTATGAAGATCATAAGTTCTTCTCCGGAAAACTTAAATACCAGCTATTACTTCAAACATCGCAAAGACCTGAGCAAGTAAGATCCACTGTCATAAATAGCCATACTTGGACAACACATTGTGCTATAATAAGATCTAACAATAATCATTTTGTTTGATTGTTTCAACCTTTCCTCAGAATCTTAATTGCGATAAGAAGTGGCTATCGATTGAAAGATCAAATCTCAAACCAGGTGCTACAGCTTGTATTAAAGTGAGATCTAAACCTATTCTAGATGAATATAAAGGAAATTGGAGTAAATGGAGTCCACTGACATGCTGGAAAAATGAGGCAGGTGAAGGTAAAGTGCCAGTTTTTCTTTAGTACAAACCCTTCGTGGCACTGGCTGTCAATGATACATGGAAATCTTCTGATATACATGAATGTGTAAAGTCTGCTTTCTTCTGTCTTGCAGCATTTGAGGTCTAGTTGTCCCTGAATTTATGGAGTCAGATCAGTCTCAATATTAATTAATTCACACAGAAGGATTCACAAATGTATAGTGTTTCTATATAAAATAAATATAATAAATATTGTGCATCATGTATATGTCTATGGATTTAATGCTACGTGATCACATTAAATGATGAATCTATGCTTTCGCGATTGGCTGAAACGGAAGGAGCCATCTGATTGGCTACACATACAGAAAATTTTGTGTGCATCAGAAAAATATATTTTTTTAATTAGATGTTCGTTCATTAATATTGAGATTGATCTGACTCTCAATATATTATGTGTCACGGTGTCATCAAGAACAAGTGTATATTGTATGAATGGCTTAGAAACATACTTATATCCTCTCATCTATGTCTGAGTTTTTATTTGATATTTCCTGTGTTATATTTAATCTGTTCGCACTTTGGTAAACGTTTGCTGTTTTTAAATGTGCTCAGTAAATAGAGCTGACTTGAGTTGAGTCTAAACAAATCCCCACCCCCCCTCCCCCTTTGTATTTTTTATCACCACCTTCTTAGAATTATACCAATAATTCATGGACATCATACAACCTAATATAATGTACTTCATCATGTCATCTCTGTAGTATGACTCACTAAATCTGTATTATTTCATGCAGTTTTCTCAGAACAAGAAAATATATTAGTCATTTTGACTAAATCCCTGGGCCCAGTGTGTGTGGCTGTTGGACTCCTGCTGTTTGTATTGTGCAGTCCCACTGCAAGGTAATCATCATCTGTACTTTGAAATGTTGGTGAAAGGGGAAATTTAAGATTGTCTTAATCGTCTGAATCTGCTCATGATTTGTATGACAGAATGAAGATAAAAACTTTGTCCCACACACCATCGCCAGCCCCTTTCTTCCAACCTCTGTTTCACCAGCATGAAGGCAATCTCCAGGTGAGGTTATAATACAATGTCTTCTTGTCCATTCTGTCTTTTTGTCTTATTTTAGGAAACTTAGCCAAGTTTCTTCTTATCTGCTGTTTTTATAACAATACCATCAGCTACTACTGTAGGACTGTTGTCAAAAATACTGTCTGGGGGCCAGTATGACCATCCAAATGTTTCAAATTTCTATTTTTTATATTTGCATCAAGTAGATATTCAGATTTTTCACAGGATAAGTGAGAACTTATGGTGACACTAGATGATGACTCGGGGAATATCATCATGAAAATCATGTGTACCAAATTTCATACATTAATTCTATAGTTGAAGTGGTTAACCAACCAACAGACCAACAAAAAAGATCAGCTTGAATGATCTGTTGTATCGAGTGGTGAATAACATATATGCAGCAATAGTTAGTTTTCACATAAGTTATGTGTGTAATGTGCTACAGAGAGTCATGCAACTACATCACACCAAATGCATCTCCATGCTACTGAATTTGCAGGAATGGCTTTCACCTCAAGGCAAATGTTTGCTAACATACAAAACTGAGGAGATCTTGACAACCGATGCTATGATTGTTGTGACGAAACCCATTACAAAGGACCCAGAGGAGAACCAGGACTTCCACAACCCTTCAGTACCACAACTGGCATTTCCTCAGTGTCAAACCTCTTATGTTGGCTTACCTAGGATAGATGAGGCCTCCCCGCCCTTAACTATGGTCTGTCCAGGGAACACCTCTTACACTCAGCTCCCTTGCTCTGTCTGGGGGGTTGGCATTGGAGAAGTAGAGGTTGTCTTCTCTCCACCTAAAGATTTCTTCAACATCAGCCAAGCAGACTCTGGCTGCAGTTGTGATGACATGACTCAAAGCCCAGAGTGCAGTTTACCAAACAGTCCTGTTGATGATAGTCCACCACCATGTTACTGTAATGATTACTGCATTCTCAACAAAACAGCAGAAGGTTTTGCTCCAGTTTTAGTGTCCAAAGGAGGTGGCCCAGATGTTCCATCTGATTCCATGCAAGAGGATAAGAGCTAAAAATAAGAAATAATCATGTCAGCTGGTTAGAAGAAAGCAACTGGTGACACTGACCACAATTGACCACTGTATATTGCATTTGCAGGAAATGGTCATAATCAGACTTTTCTTGCACACACTGTATGTTATGTGGTCCATATAGCACTTTTTCTTTAGCCAGTGCAGGTTTTTGTGTGTTTTTATGCCTTGAATTCCCTACATCTATGAACCATTTAAATGTGCTTCATAATCACTCTTTTTATGAGAGAAACCAACACATAACACATATGGTAAGCTTCAGCCAACTGTCTAACTTGCATATTTTACACTGACTGCAGAATGTGATAACATTTCATATCAACTTTCATGTTTTTTCTTTTGCAAAGCCTAATGTTTTTACATTTGCCTGTGTTTGTATTTTGCCTTCACCTTTTAATGAAGAATAAGTAAAGTGGCATCAAGTAAAATTTCCATGACAACTGGGCAGACTGTGATGTGATATGAGAACAACTACTAAATGGTTTCCAATGTCATGAATGAATTTGACCTCTTTAACTATTTTAGTGAGATGCTGACTAAATTTTGAAAGGCTGTAGTTAGTAATGCTGTTGAATTGAAATGTCTTTTCAAATTGTTTGCTCACCGCATATATTATATCAGTGAGGGTGAACTAAATATCAGAAACTGCACTCAAGTACAATACAATACAGTTCGACAGCACCACAAACTACATCCTCCAAAGTGACCATTAAGATAATTTAACAACTGTCTAAAACACTTACAACAGATGTTTTAATAAGGACAGCTGTGCAAGTGGATTTTTTTTTATGTTTGTGGACAGCGGCTTTGAAGCCTCAAATTTGGCAGTTTGGCCGCTGCCATGTTGATTCTTTGCAACCAGCGCAACTAGGTCGCTTGGTTAGCTAGGTGCATCTGTAATTCACATCATACTAACCATGATGATCATTTTGTTTAGCAAAAAACAAGTTTAAAACAAAATGTACTCACCAGAGGAAATTAGGAGGCCAACTCCAAATAAGCTTTTTTACCTGCGCTTGATAAATTTACACTGTGATGTGAGTACGAGTCACTCTAGAATGATTTACATGGTTGCCATGGTAGCAACTTGTCAATCACAAGATAGTCCCACCCTAAAGCATACTCTGCTTTATGGTCTATTTTCCTCTAAATTGGACCATCATTTACTAAATGAACAATGCTGTATTGAAGAAGACATGAAACTAGCAACTAAGACCATAAACTCAATATGAAACTATTTACTGAGGTAGCAAATCAGGTGAGAAGGAACTTCTTTTTGCAATCAGTGGAGTCGTCCCCTGCTGGCCGTTCGATAGAATGAAGGTTTAAGGGACTTCCGCACTCGCCTCACTTTTCAGATGGCTCCGGCTTGGTCTGTTTGCAGCCCTTGCCATGATATCCATACTAAGAATACAGAGCTAGCTTCTTCCGAAGAACTTACATTGCACATTATATACTTTTTGCTTATTCTGCTGAAGAGTCGTGTTGGTGCCAAAAAGTATTACACTGTTGTCATGATAAATGTACTGCCCAGGATTCCAATGTAAGAGCTGCCATTTACACAAGTGAGTGTACCATTAAAATTATTTGATGTCTGAATTCAACAAGGATTTCCCCTCTTCTTATATGTTTTCATATAAACAACATTTATCTTCATTGAATTGGTCCTGAACCCCAAGGAAAGAGCATTAAAAAAGTGAAAACTAGCTACACCTTGCAGCTACAACAGTAAAATGGTGCTTATGCATTGATTCATCAATATTAATAATCTAATAATGTAATGTATGATAATATATCAGTACTTTTACTTTTGCTCATAATACTTTTGTAGAATTTTAAATGCAGGTTTACCTGTAATGAAATATTTATACATTGTGGTAGTACTACTTTTACTTAAATAATAATAAGTAAATGAGCTGAGTACTTCTTCCAGTACTAATAAACTCACTGGTGAGCTCATTTGATTTGCTCTGCTTAATAACCCCTCTTCTAATCAAAAAACAACCTGAAAGCCAGGTGAATGTGTTTTTGGCCTTAACATAGTTTAAGATATTTAGTTCGAACACCCACATTGACATGCAACAAAACCTGCAGTTCCGCAATCATCCAGAATCTAGTGGTAGTTCTGCTTTTTAGCCGGCCAACGACACAGACGAAACACAGCAGCAGAAGAAGAGGCTAATCGTTTCATTTGGTCTGAACAGGATTCAAGATAAACCTTTATGCAGCATTTAGATACTAAATTGTGACCGCGGAGAATTTCTCCATAATGTTTTTTCGATGTTTGGCCACTCGTCGCTCGAAAGTGAGTAAAACAGTGAGAGCAGTGCTAGTTTTACAGTCTCGGCTCCGAGTAACAATGAGTAATTTAATATTACTCATTGTCGAGTAATTTAATATTACTCATTGTAACCACGAGCCGTCTGGGTTGCCCCAAAGACTGCACGAGGACGAGGCTCTGGCCATTGAAAATGCCTTCAGGACAGCAGTCACTGTGACGAACCTCATATGCAGCGCCTGCAGTCGCAGAGTACCTGGGAGATCAGGAGACTGGAGGGCAAGTAGTGGAAAGGTGAAAGTAAGCTTCATATGTTGCGTATGGAGGTAGGTAGGGGGCAGACTGGGGATGAACTTTCCAGTCCTTATGCAAGGGGAAAAAACTCTGGTGAAGTTGTCAGCAGCCTTGTGGTAAGTAATATCAGGTGACATTAAATGAATGAGTTCAACATGTGGAGGGATAACATCTCCCCTGCAGAGGTACATGTGGTCAGGAAGCCACCCACTCGTTTTCTATTCATTTATCTGTTCATCAGGTGTAGGTGCAGCAACACCCACACAGATTTCCTCCAAGTGCATTGACACAGTGTGGCCTTTCCCCACCTACATTGTGAAACCTTCATGGTATGGAGAAGCAGCTGGAGGCCAGTCCTTTGAATGCATTAAAAAAGAACCTTCTCATTAAATGGAAAGTGTGTAAGAGGAGTTTGCTGGATCAGCAGGATGTGACGCCGAATATCAGCACAAAGAAAAGCCTGCAAAAAAACATAAGCTCTGGTAGCCCACTGCTGTCATCTTACAGTGTTGGGTGAGTGAGTAAAAACAGTGATGTATAATTACTGTTGCAGTAGAAAATGCCATAAGGGCTACTATAGATCTATAGCAGTCTCCAGATCTTCATCACTGAAATAAATGAGCACAACAGACAGAGAAATAACAGGTTGTGCAACCTCCCTCCAAAACAGCTACAGGTTCAAGTCACATGCAGTAGGTACAGTGGTAAATTTCCCCTCTAAGTATTACCCAAGAATAACTTCAAAAAAGTCTGATCTCTTTTTTTCTTTCTACACACAACTACTTCCGCCACTTGTTTTGGGTGTTACACTCTCATGTTTACATGAGAGTGTAACACCCAAGGGGCGTCACTTTGTGTTGAAAAATGGTGGGAACATAGAGGCTCAGATTTGGGGTGTGAAGAGACACTTAGATCGCGAAACATCACAATTAGCAATATTAGGTTCACAAGAATGAGACAATGCCAAGATATATGAGAAGAGGTCTAGGGGGGACCTCCCCCAGGAAATTTTGATCTTTAAACACTTCATTTCCTCCATTCTGGTGAATGTTTCTGCAACAATTTATGGTGGAAAGCTTTTTATTTATGTAAAAGGAAACACAAAATTCAGGTGGCAGGTGACATTTAAAAATATATTTTAAAAAATAGAATATAATGCAGTGCAGCTCTCAGGCATTTGGTGTTGCTTTAGATCTGTTTCTTCTGTAAATCAACTTTTCTGTAATATAATCCCTGCTGAGGTAACGCATATGCAGGCATGACTTAGTCTTCCCTCCTCTTTTGTCATGTTCAAAGGGAGAGAACAGAAAACTTGGCCATAAAGAAACTGTAAAGAAATTGTTGAAGTTACTGATTCGTACATGCACGTTTTTGGGTCATCTTATAATCAGTAGCTTGCTTTTTTTTAGCTTAAGTTACTTTTATCGACAATGCACATTTGTTTTTTCTATATTTTAATTGCTTTACATGTTTTCTTAATGTGCAAATAAACCTTTCTAAAGGCATTTTCATTTGTTATTAAACTATGTTTCAGAAAATGTTTTAACAAATTATGCTCTAAAAAAGTGGTGGGGACATGTCCCCAGCATTTCCAGTGTAAATGACACCTATGGTAACACCATGAAAGTCTTTGAGGAGAGACTAAAATTGTGAGCCATCATCCCCATTTGTATGATTAATTACATCAAGATGAAAGAGACTACAACACAACAGAGAGATCACTGAGGCAAGGAGGAGGCTTTCTGCACTACTAAGTAAACAGGTGCAGTGAGGAAAATAAGTATTTGAACACCCTGCTATTTTGCAAGTTCTCCCACTTAGAAATCATGGAGGGGTCTGAAATTGTCATCGTAGGTGCATGTCCACTGTGAGAGACATAATCTAAAAAAAAAATCCAGAAATCACAATGTATGATTTTTTTTAACTATTTATTTGTATGATACAGCTGCAAATAAGTATTTGAACACTTGTCTATCAGCTAGAATTCTGACTCTCAAAGACCTGTTAGTCTGCCTTCAAAATGTCCACCTCCACTCCATTTATAATCCTAAATTAGATGCACCTGTTTGAGGTCTTTAGCTGCATAAAGACACCTGTCCACCCCATACAATCAGTAAGAATCCAACTACTAACATGGCCAAGACCAAAGAGCTGTCCAAAGACACTAGAGACAAAATTGTACACCTCCACAAGGCTGGAAAGGGCTACGGGGAAATTGCCAAGCAGCTTGGTGAAAAAAGATCCACTGTTGGAGCAATCATTAGAAAATGGAAGAAGCTAAACATGACTGTCAGTCTCCCTCGGACTGGGGCTCCATGCAAGATCTCACCTCGTGGGGTCTCAATGATCCTAAGAAAGGTGAGAAATCAGCCCAGAACTACACGGGAGGAGCTGGTCAATGACCTGAGAAGAGCTGGGACCACCGTTTCCAAGGTTACTGTTGGTAATACACTAAGACGTCATGGTTTGAAATCATGCATGGCACGGAAGGTTCCCCTGCTTAAACCAGCACATGTCAGGGCCCGTCTTAAGTTTGCCAATGACCATTTGGATGATCCAGAGGAGTCATGGGAGAAAGTCATGTGGTCAGATGAGACCAAAATAGAACTTTTTGGTCATAATTCCACCAACCGTGTTTGGAGGAAGAAGAATGATGAGTACCATCCCAAGAACACCATCCCTACTGTGAAGCATGGGGGTGGTAGCATCATGCTTTGGGGGTGACAGGGCGACTGCACTGTATTAAGGAGAGGATGACCGGGGCCGTGTATTGCGAAATTTTGGGGAACAACCTCCTTCTCTCAGTTAGAGCATTGAAGATGGGTCGAGGCCGGGTCTTCCAACATGACAATGACCCGAAGCACACAGCCAGGATAACCAAGGAGTGGCTCTGTAAGAAGCATATCAAGGTTCGGGCGTGGCCTAGCCAGTCTCCAGACCTAAACCCAATAGAGAGCTCAAACTCCGTGTTTCTCAGCGACAGCCCAGAAACCTGACTGATCTGAGAGAAGATCTGTGTGGAGGAGTGGGCCAAAATCCCTCCTGCAGTGTGTGCAAACCTGGTGAAAAACTACAGGAAACGTTGACCTCAACAAAGGCTACTGTCCCAAATATTAACATTGATTTTCTTAAAAAAATCATACATTGTGATTTCTGGATTTTATTTTATTTTTTTGGATTACGTCTCTCACAGTGGACATGCACCTACGATGAAAATTTCAGACCCCTCCATGATTTAAGTGGGAGAACTTGCAAAATAGCAGGGTGTTCAAATACTTATTTTCCTCACTGTATAAATACTTTTGTCTTCAGATGCATTTTGCATCTGAGATAGCTCTTGGCTGTCTTACTGTGACCCATTATGAACACTTTCCACAACTCTGCAGGCTTGAGGGAGTAACACCCATTCATAGCATTGTGATGTTAAAACAGTGATGATTTGTAGGTGAAGATGAGGATTTTGTAAGTTAAGCAGGACCTGATAGGCAGCCAGTGAAGCCACATTAGGGTGGGGGTGATGTGCTGCCAGGATTTAGTGTATGTTAAAACTCTGTAGCAGCTGAGTTCTGGGCATATTGGAGCCTGTCGAGGGCTTTGCAGGGCACACTGAATAGGATATAATTGCAGTAATGAAGACGGGTCATGATGATAAAGTGGATGAGGGTCTTAGCCACGGAGTCAGTGAGGGCTGGAGGCTAGAAATGTTTTGAGATGGTAGAAGGCAAAATTTGTGATGTTTTTAATATGAGACTGGAATGAAAGGGTGGAGTCCAGGATGACTCTCATGTTCCCAGAGATGGAGCAGCTATCTACTTCCAGGAGGATGTCGCCAACCTTCTTGAGTAGCCACCCTGGAGCCACCACCATGAGTTCAGTTTTATTGTTGTTGAGTTTGAGAAAGTTAGCAGTTGTCCACGTCTTAATGTCTTGCAGGCAGTTGACAAGTGTCATGGGTGGGAGCTGTGTTCAGGGTTTGGTGATGCTGTAAAACTGGGTGTCATTTAAATGAAAAATTGGATCCATCGAAATTTA